TTCCGTTGTTCTTGGATGCATCTTTTCCATTTTTACTCTTTGGTTTTGATGCTAGGGCTGCGGCGCCCCATTGAGTTACATTCCATTTCTCATCATATAAGAGAGCAGTGTTAGTCTTCACTAAAGCTTTGCGATTGTGCCTATGGAAGGAAAGCAATTATAGATTACTGCGGGTCGCTAGCTTTAATCTTCATCGTGCATCTCCTCTCTATAATCACCATGTGTCATTCGTTTCAACATTATTAGGGTTCGTCGTATGGGCATAGGCGAAACCTAATCGCAGTTTTTGAAGTAATCAGTAATTACAAGCCGTTATTCAGCAATAGCATTCTATGACTTTACCTGAGAATGTGGTCCCGAAGTCTAAATCGGCAACAAGCGTAAATTAAAAATTGGTGGGAAATTGTCAAAGCACATCAGATGATTACTGAGCTTACCCAAGCCCACAACGACTCTAACATCTTTATCAGCTATGTTGGGAGTAAATCCGCTCATATTCTTTGTCGAAGAGAAAATGAAGGATTATAAACTCCGAGAATCAAGTTAATAACAATGAGCCATGTGACACAGTGCAACAACTTCTACATTTGTGCACACAATAGGACTTTAGTTACAGTCCTGATGTTCGACTAAGCAAAATGGCAATGGGTGATTTGGGAAAGTGTGACTATAGACAGTAGTTGACTGTACTAGCGTCGTCATTTCATCTTGCGATTAGGAGACGCGTAATTGTAGTTGGTAGGGAGATATGTTATGTTATGGACGTAGTGAGTAGTACCAAACACAGCTTAATCAATAATACGATAACTTTGCTAAATATTGTGTCGCTCTGAACGAACGATTTGACCGAAGCGCCGCGCAAGGTTTACAATTTAATGAAACATGGTTGCGTGGAGATTATACACAAGTATGTATTCTTTGAGCATTGTCCGTAGTTCAATCCATCTCAGACAAAGAGAAACCGTTGAGTCATTACAATAGGATGTAGAACCCATCCTCGTTTTGCATGATAATCTTTTTTTTATTATGCGAAGACTGGTTGGGTTTACTTCCAAGTATTAAGTAATAGTTTGAAAGTTCTCTAATTCAGATGGAAAAGATAAAGTAGAAATACTAAATAAAGGTCTCTGTTATTATTTTATGATTAAAATTCAGTGATAAAAAAAACGAATTAACGTTCGTATTTATCGATGTCAACATCGGTTTCTTTTATTATTGCTATAAACGTCATGTTATACTAACATTACAATTCATTTGTCGACCCAAATAAAAGCCTTAATGATTACTATTTCTCACGGCGAACGATTGGTTGAAGAATCGTTTCAGTGAGTGATGAGGACATGAGTAGAACTCGAATACAACTCAGCATTGTCTATAGACATCTGAACGTATCTGGGAGAGTGCTGACATAAAACTGATTTAATGTCAAAGTGGAATTAATACGCTTGAGTATTATCTCCACTCATTCTAAAGCATGTAACTGTGACTGTGGTTGTTCGGAAATTACTACACTGGGAGACATTTACGATACTTTTGTGAGTATTCTTGTCATGATAAAGTATTGTTAACTTGAAATTTCGCAATTGAGAATAATGCAGAGGATTACTATTACTCAAGACAGAATAAACGAACAATGCTCAGGATGTTTTGGAACACCCTTTCATGGAATTTCTCTCCCAGTTTGTAAAATGCTGACACGGTATTTTGAGAAGTCGTTTTGTCTGAAAATACGACAGCTTTGTCTGGCATGAGCAATGGCCTATGTTTACGTTGTTTTTCTGTAAGTAAAGGTATAGTTTTGAGGTGGATTCGAGCTTATTAAGTCACGATTTACCGTTTTGCGCTGATATTTTTACCCTAAAACTTGAGCAATTCCTCGGTATTGATCGTTTTGAATCATTCTTTCTAATACACGTCTATTGGGAGGAGTTAAAATCCTTGGACGTCCAGGACGAAAAATAAATCTAATTTCACCATTTGTCGTTCGATGTATTTGTATGTTGTAGAAAGGAGAACCTCACTTTCTTGTGCTAAAGTGTGCGCATTTCGAACACCGCAATACTTATGGTTCTTCGTCGGTCAGCAAACAAAATTTTTTCCATTTAATAGCAAAATGCAGGAGAGATTAAGTATATTTTTTTAAAAACTTGTTTTTTAACTAAACCATCATCAAATTTGGTTGCCCACCAGCTGAACGTTTTCTATGTTATCATTTGATTCTGTATATTAATAATAATGCTACCTAGAGTATGAACGAATTATTACACTCAAACCGGTTGTGCCTTTACCATTCTCTGAAAAATCATGGCTGAGGATATTCGTCTAGACATTGATTGGCACTGTATGAAAGTCGCATGTTCACTAAATACAAAGGCATTAATCACGGGGCACATAATGAAGTGGTATCGAAAGAACCCTTGTAATCACTACGTTCACAAATTGTTTCTTGAAAAATAATTGTTTCGCCTGAAAATAAACAAAGTTAAAGTGACAATCATCACCCTTTTTATTGATTTAAAAGACAGTGACTTCATTATTGAGAAAAAATTTTAAGAGTTTAGAAACACAAGCATAGAATGATATTTAGATGTTTACTGCCATGACAGAGTTTGGTAATAATATTTTCGCCAAGCTTCGTTTGTTGCAGTGATGCGATATCTCATTCAACTGATTGCAAACAAAATTGTAAGCCTTACTGCATCAGCCGGGAGTTGAACCCGGGCCACTTGCTTGGAAGGCAAGTATTCTACCGCTATACTACTGATGCTGACTCTTTAAGTAAAGTAGAATAAATTTTATCTAAAACTATTAATTACGCGAAACGCCTTTCAAACACTGTAAACTCCATCAGTTGCCAGACTTTCCGTAAACAGAAGACAATGTATATTTCGGGCAGTCTGCGCCAAACCAGTTTGATTGAATTACGGGACTATTAAATATCTTTGAATTCTCTCCCCTCCATTCCATTCATCACTATTTCTTCAAAGGCTCTTTATGACTACTTAATATCTTGTTTATCCGGAATGCTTACCCCCATCCCCCCCCCCCAAATTATTTTATACTTTCGGCTATTTGCTTTACTTTCTACTATCACTCTAGTTCATTTTAATTGGCAAGCGAATTCATCAAACTTGTGGTGGGCATTGTACACGATTATGTTGAGTCTTTAAAAAAACCGTTTAAAGGTCAATTCCGAAGTCGTAAAGTTTATTTATTTGTTTGACGTTAAATTATAAACCAGCTAGAACACTCACATTTCTATTACGCATAATCTAATCAACTGATCTTACTGCTTCTTACAATGGCGTCATTTTATAAGAATAAAATTTCCTTTTATATACACATATATAAATAGCATGGCTTATCATTGATGGCGATGCTGTGGTGGGACTAACAAAGCCAAACCAAGTTGTAGAGCATAAAACACAATAGACAGGCAAGATGCACGTCAACCAAAATAACATAAACGTTCCTACTGGTGACGGAAAAACCATACTGTCAATTATTATCACTAAACACGTATTAGTATGCCTAATACGGCAATTTGAATGTATCTTCAGAATTACCTGTTCGAGTCTACGGCGCTGATTTATGCTTTTTCCATGCAGGCAAATAAGTTAAACAGGATTTTATTGTATTCCTACCACTCGAACCTTCATAAACCATCAAATCAAAATGTGCCAGATTTTTTATTTTCTGTTGGTGTTACTCAAGTTTAATTAATTACTATTAGATCTGTTGTGTCCATCAACAACAATTATTAATACAGCTTCTTTACCTCACCCCACGTATTATACAATATATGAGCCGGATTAGTTTGGAAGAAACCACTGTTTCAAATAAGGGTAGGAGGTTACCGCAAAGCTAGCAAACGTTGTCGAACTTGTTCAAACAATACGATACATGTCTCTATTCAAAAATCAATGATTCCATAATATAATAATACCCAGTTGATGATCCACTCTCAGACAGCCAATCGAAAACTGCCAACATCGACAAGCATTTACATGCATAACTATAAATTAGCGCTGATACCATCCATCCTCAAAACTCATCATACGGATACTGAAAGCGCATCTTAATATGATTCGAAATATATTAATCCTTGCTTTGGCCTTCCTGGTCTTTTCATTATTCGTACGTGCAGACGAGCTTGAAGAAGAAAGCCCGCCCGCAGAAGAAGTAATTTCCGATGTCATCTCATTGACGGAAAAAACCTTCTCGACAATAGTCGATCCAGAGAACTTGATAATGGTGGAGTTTTTCGCTCCGTGGTGCGGGCATTGTAAAGCGTTGGGTTAGTAAACAGATCACATCGAATACAATGCTTCTGGATGAAAGAATAAATTAATTCATTATTTGACATTATACAATAATAGCGCCTGAATATGAAGTAGCCGCTACAACCCTAAAGAAAGATGAAATCAAGCTAGCCAAGGTTGACTGCACTGCTGAAACGAAGCTTTGTCAATCGTTCGATGTCGGAGGATATCCAACTATAAAAATATTTAAAGAAGGAAAAGTTGCGGCTGATTACGCCGGTCCCCGTAAAGCCGATGCTATCATTTCGTATATGCGAAAGTAATGTATAATCTTACGCTTGTACACCAGATGACAATGTAACCGATCTTTTAAGATTCTCGACTAACACTCTCTACACAAAATAGACAACTATTGCCCGCGGTTGCCGTAGTAACGCCCAGCAACTTCACCTCTTTCAAGGAAGCTGAAAATGTGATAATCGTTGGATTTTTCTCTGGCACAACTCAAGACGAATTCAATGTTTATAGCAAGGTTGCTGAAGCATTGCGTGACGAATTCCGCTTTGGCGCAGCCGTTAACTCTAAGCTTGCTTCGGAAGAAGGTTTAACAACACTTCCTGCAGTCGTGGTCTACAAAAAATTCGACGAGGGCAAGAACGTGTTCACTGGTCCATTCACTGAAGAAGACTTGGCCAGCTTTGTCAGAACGAGTTCGATAAAAGTATTGGATGAGATTACTCCAGACAACTATCCCTTGTACGTGGATACGAAAGTACCTATCGCTTTCTTCTTCTATGACAATCCGGAACAAAGAGAACAACTTTATGAGCAAGCCGAACCTGTAGCTGGAGAATTCAAGGGGAAGATTAACTTTGTGTTTATCAATGCGACGGCATATGGAGGGCACGCCGATAATTTGAACTTGAAACAAACATGGCCCGCGTTTGCTATCAGTGAACCGGCGCAGGGGAACAAGTATCCTTATGATCAAAGTAAAGAAATAACGACAGATGGCATCAGAGAATTTTGTTCTGCTTTTGTCAACTCAGAGATTAAGCCGAGCATTAAAAGTCAACCTATTCCCGAGACTAACGACGAACCTGTGTACGTTCTTGTTGCTGACAATTTTGAACAAACTGTTTATGACACTGCCAAGGACGTTCTTGTCGAATTCTACGCACCATGTAAGTAAATTCACAAATGTTTAACCAAAGTTATATCATATCGTATGTGATAAAATAGTATTGGCTTCTCATCTTATTGATTCATATGAAAATTTGGTTTGTACTTTTTGAATTCCTAACCTGCGTACATAGGGTGCGGCCATTGCAAGAAACTGGCCCCAACTTACGACAAAGTAGGCGAAGCGTATGCTCCGTTCAAGGATAAGATCGTTATCGCCAAGATGGATGCCACGGAAAACGATCTTCCTCCCCGCGTTCCTTTCAAAGTCAGTGGATTCCCTACGATCAAATTATTCAAAGCCGGCGAAGAGAAAGACATTGTTGATTTCCAAGGAAACAGATCGTATGAAAGTTTCATAGAATTTCTTGATCAACATGCTGTTAACAAAGTAACTGTAACAAAAGCAGAAGAAGAGCCACCGAAAGAGACCCCACCCGCTGAAACTGTGAGTGCACATGAGGAGTTATAAACATGTTGTACTGATTGGGTAATAGTAGCGGTAGTAGCGAATAGTAGTAATAATATAGTAGTGGTAGCAGCAAGGTCATATATACACATTCATTTATTTGCTGAATTTGAAACAATCATATAAGCAAAGTTGTGTATGTGTGTGTGTTATTTCGAAATGACAAGATTGGTGGTGTATCAAAAGTATTAATGTTGGATGTAATCGACCCGGTCTGAACGTGATTATTCTTATTTTGGAGGAAAAACTAAAATTATAAATAAATGTCTCTCATCAATATTGTCGATAGTTTCAATAAACTATTCATAAGGTAACAAATACTTCACTACATGCCATAATGAGAATTTTGTCTACCTACTCAAAGTCTCTTAGAAATTTTCAAATGATTATAAACAATAAATTACGCTTTGTCGACTCCCTTTGCTCTTGTCGGCGTTTCATCATGCGTCTACAGACACAACTTCATCCGAAGCTTTATCGTTCTCGGTTTCTACAGTTGAAGTTTCGATAGTTTCTTCATTGCCAGTGGCGCTCTCATCACCTGATAATTTGCTTGACGAGGTAGTGGAAACAGATACTTCAGATGTGACTTCCTTCATTGCGTCGTTACCATGTTCAGACGATTTCTCATTAGTTGTATCCACTGTTTCAACCACATCTTGCTTTGAAATGGAAGTGTCGGAAGTGGACGCAGATGAAGATTCTACAGTAAGAGAGGATGATGTGGAGACAGGCGCGCGTGGTTTGGAACGTCCCGGGCGTCTAGGACGATCTTTCGTAATCTGTTCGGGAAATAACATACCAGCAGACCAAATGGAATGTCAATGTCTCAGAAAAGCAAGCAATCCGCACTGGCAATCTTTAAAGCTTACATGTGTCAAGGGCCTATTACTAACTACGTCGACTCCGCTTTTTTCTTTTGTTGCTTTTTCACTAGAATCATCCCCCATCATAACCTTCACTTTCCCGTTATTTCCAACATTCGTATTTGTCTGCTCTTTATCATCACCACTAATTTCCACTTTTCTCCCGCCAACTTTAGGTGGGGCTCCTCCACGAGCAAGGCCGGGAAGTGGCATACCAGCACCAAAGACGGATTCAAGACGAGATGCAATTGTGGACTCGAGTTTCTTAGGCGACGGTTTGCTCGTTTGGGAAAGAGGTGTTGTGGAAGTGGCGGAAGAAACTGTAGTTGACGTTGATGTTGACGTGGACAGAAATGTGGAAGTTATTTTACGTGGTGGAGGGGCTTTATTTGTTGAGGAGGTGGTGGACGATGGCGTGGTGTTTAAAGGAGCAGTCGAAGCAGATAAAAAGGCAGAGGTAATTTTCTTCGGTGGAGGATGCGCGGGGTTATTTGTCGATGCAGTTTGTTCCGCGTTATCCTACATTAAAATAGTGATGTCCTTTAGCATTGTTGATGACTTCTCATCTCTTGCTTTTTTTTTTCTACATGTCCTTGTTTAGCCACAACGGTCACCAAAACTTGCCCCTTTCCCATCCAATCTATCACCAAATATAACCATCCCCAATATCATTCAATGCAAATCCAAACCTTCGCAGCCCACGGAACCTTGTTCATAACATTTATTCGTCCTGGCGTGGGTTTTTTCTCATCGTCTTTCTTTCTTTCATCCTTATCTTCAGCATTACCCCACTTTTCCAACACAGGTTTCCGTTTAATTACAATTCGCTGGGATGTTTTGGACGGTTCGTTTGCCTGTAATTGGGCGGCTTCACGTTGGCGAATGAGCTCGGCTACGCTCTGCCGCGTTGAGGGAGATGTTGCAAGGGGAGTTGGCAGGGGGGGAGATAAAGTTGCATTCGAATCAGTTTGGGGTACTAGCGTTGATTCAGAAGAAGAGACAAGTGACGGAGACGAGGCTGTAACAATTTTGGTAGTTGAATCGTGAGATCGAAAAGCGTCTGCGGTGCCTTTACGATTTTCTCTTATAAACAAATGATCCGATGATGGTTGCTGGTTGTCAGAACCGCTTGCGCTTTCGCAGTTACCATCCTCATGATCATTGTTAATCTCCTGAGGTTCAGCAATAATTGGAGTTTGTAACAGAATTTTGACCGAATCTTCAACTTTCCCCTCCTCCTTGCCTTTGGAATCTCCTACGCTTTCGAAATGTCCTTCCGCCACAACCTTCTTCTCGAGTTCCACATTGTTTTTGTCTACTACACTAAGTTTGTGTTGACGATGGCTTCTGAATTCTTCAAAGATAGTGTCAACATCGCGACCTTTGTGAAGGACATCTGTCGAACCTCGACGCGGTTTTTGAATCTCTATTGGATGGGACTCTTCAACGTCATAGTTGCACAATTAGAAAATATGCGCGAAGAAGATAAAGAAGAATGGATGTAAACTTACCACTACGGAGGGAGCTGCTTCGGCGACGCTCTTCGCGTGCTTTCCGCGTTTTGTCAATCTCCTTTAGTTAGAGTAATAAAAAAAGTAAGTATATTTCTCCGAAAACCGAAATTCTATATTTTACAAAATTTATCACAGAATTTGTCTTCTCAGTTAGACTCAACTACTACGCGCCATTCCTCAATCTCATGAACGAACCTCAATAAGTTCCTTCTCAATCCTTTCCCGCTCTTTATCCCCCTCTTCTTGAAGTTCTTTGATCTTCTTCACCCATTCCTGATACTCCTCTTCGTTTTTCTCTTCACCTTCAGCGATTTTCTGTAAGGTTTTTTGTCGCTCACGACGACGCGCTATAGCCGCTTGTTCTAGTTCTTTCTCGAGCGCTTGAAGTTTAGCTGAAGGCGGTGAAGTCGAGGTAGCTGAAGTCAAGGTAAGTATAGAGGAAGAGCGTAATAGATATCTACTGAGCGAATCGGGGTAGACTTACTATCAAGAGAGCCCTCTTCGTTTAGTGATGAGTGTTGAGATGAGTTTGAAGCTTTGACAGATTCTGACATTCGTGAAGTTAATGTTGTAACATGTTTGGCTATCATTTTATTGAATGTTTCAGATGTGACACACGTTTTCAAATCCGTGGAAAATCCAACTGAATAAATGCATGATCGTTAAGTCTGTGCCTTTTTTTTCATGGACACGGTGTATTTCCTTTTTAAACATGATGACTGGAAGCAAAGTGCTGTAATTAACTATTATTTTGTTGACGGATTTACGAATGTGATACTTGGAAATTCCCTTTAGTTATTGGAGTTTGTTCGCTTGCCCATCTCCAAGGAGGATCCAGATTAAGGTAAGAGACTTTTTTGTGCCGAGCTTTTCCTAAACGGTTGGAGATCGACATAAGATATTTGCCGAAAGTAGCTAAAGTGAGGACATACAAATTCGCTTAGTTTACTGCGGCAATAGAGATCTGTGTAACAATTAATGTCAATATTTTAATAATGAATAGATCTGAATCCACACGCTCCTCTATCTATTGCATTATATACTTGACATGTCATATTATACTGCTGCCTCGAAGCAATGGTGAATATTTGTTATGGACGATCTATGACATGAATACAGTCTTTTGTTTGGAAAGCGTATATAATTACTGAAGAATTTTGTGCTCGACGTAGGCGTCAATTTAACTTTTTCGACGCTCAGCAGGTCAGAGATCCCATTGATCCGTCGAGATCTCCGACCATATTTCAGGTATACTTCTTGAACACATATTACGACACGTTTGTTATAGAAATTGTTTTTATCTCATTCTAAGCCATTCCGAATTTTACCTGTAGCAAGCAGATATAACGAACTCAACAAGCGGACGAGGAAACATAATTCTAGCTGATATCCTTCTCTGCTAACAAACTCTTATTTATTTTCCATGATTCATTACTCCTTGACTTGATTTTTTACATTCGACGGGTGCAATATATATGGTCGACAGATCGTACAATGTACAATCATTTATTGCATACGATGGCGGACGCGTTACTCATATGAAACAAATGAAGCAGAAGAATATTCTTGTCACGATTGGAGTAAGTTGAGTGAAGGAAATTACGTCAACTATATTGATGTTGAAGTTCGCATAATCGCTGAATATTATTCGGTCAATGAATCTTAAATGTCTTTTTTGATCTTTCTGCTAAACTGACGATAGGAAGACGACCCAATGTCATCATCCCCAATAATTAAAATCTGGGAACTTGACAAGCAGGACAGATCAAAAAATTCACCAACATGTCGGCGAACAATTAAGGTTGAAACCAAATCAAAACCGTATCCTGTATCGACATTTGCCGTTTTAGAAAATATGAGTCAGATTGCTGTGGGGTTGGCAAATGGAAATGTCGTATTGATTAGGGGAGATATACAAAGGGAGAGATCGACTAAACAGAGGATTGTATATGAAGGTGAAGAACCAGTTACCGGTTAGTATGTGAAGAAGTTGTGATGATTAATGGGTCGATGCATGAAAGTATGAGCAAAGAGTTTTATATAATTGTCTCATAATCATGTAAACCTTTTCCCGGTAAATAGGTCTCGGATTTAGGGAACAAAATAAGAGTGTAATTCTTTTCATCGTGACGACTACTAAAGTATTGATGTACACGACTGGAGGAAAAAATCCATTAGTAAGTAATTGACATTCAATCACACATCTATCATTATACTCTTCAAACCAAATTTTGCTGTTTTTCAACACTCTCGTCCTTCGTTCTTATAGACTGTAATTGATGAACAAGGCTGTGCATTGGGATGTGCTATTATGAACGATATTACTCATGAAATGATTATTGCGAGAGATGAAGTGAGTATGCTAATGTTTTGTATCGTGAGAGAAATACCAAAGAGTTAAATGACATTCTTATGTCGATCAGGCTATATACTTTTATGGTCCCGAGGGACGAGGCCCTTGCTATTTCTACGAAGGTACGCATTATTGTTCTTGATCTCGTTCTGTTGGATCGTCACCTCTCTAATAATACCATTTCACAGGGGCAAAAGCGTCAGTGTCTTGGTTCAAATCCAACCTCGTGATAGTCTCTCCACCAGTAACTCAACTTGCCCGTGTCGCTTCGCCACGCACACCCCTCCAGATGTCATCTTCTTCTGCGGGGCCACTAGAATATACGAAAGTGACGATATTCGACACAGCTAATAAATTTATTGCTTACACAGGAAATTTTTCGCAGGGAGTTAGAACAGTGACTTCCGAGTGGGGAGCTGTTTTCGTACTGGGGATGGATGGGAAGGTGAGTTGATTGTTCGTGTGTGTGAAGAATAACTATTGTCTTTAAGAGATGTTGATAGATTTTATTATTACAGCTGTACAAATTGGAAGAGAAAGATACCCCGACTAAATTGGAAATACTATTTAAGAAGAATTTGTATCTACTCGCAATTAATCTAGCACATAGTCAGAAGTATGATGATGCAAGCATATCCGAAATATTTAAGAAATATGGCGATCATTTGTACAGGTGCGAAATAAGAGATCATTGCAACAATGGTCAACGTTACTGCATATCGCCAACTAATTGATTTTTCAACGTATAGTAAGGGAGATTATGATAATGCAATGTCGCAGTATATTCGTACAATCGGGCAGCTTGAGCCATCCTATGTTATTAGAAAGGTGAACTCTCGATGCGTACTGTTGATAAGGCACATGTTTGACTCAGATACCATAGCCACTGACAATATTATGAACATTTTTCTAGTTTTTAGATGCGCAAAGAATCCATAATTTAGTAAATTATCTTCAAGAATTGCATTCAAAGAATCTTGCAAATACGGATCATACGACCTTATTACTCAACTGTTATACGAAGCTAAAAGACGTTGCTAGGTTGGATCAGTTTATTAAAGTAAGTATTCATGGTTACATAGGCGTTGGGTGTTATGATCAACGTCATTGTTGAAGATTGATTAATTTTAAACCATATCAACTATTGTTTTGTAGACTGATAATGAATTGACCTTCGATTTGGAAACAGCGATCAAAGTTTGTCGGCAAGCTGGATATTATGAACATGCTCTTTATTTGGCAAAAAAATTCGAAGAACATGACTTGTACGTGTCTTAATATGTATATGCAATATCAATATGTTTGATACTAGGACTAATGAATAGTCTATAAATAAGATATCTCAAAATACAGATAGAAGATGTCAAGGATTATGTAAATGCATTGGAATATATTCGCAAGCTAGGTCCAATAGAGGTAACAAACATTTGGCATGTCGTTGCAATTTTATTCTTGGAAATCTTTTCAATACTGATATCTCGATGAATCACTCCATATTTTCCCGCGTGTTCCGTAAACCAAAAGGCCGACCGCAATCTCCAAAAATACGGCAAAATTTTACTCAATCACATTTCTGTATCTACGACACAACTTTTAATCGACCTCTGCACCGGTAACCTTCTCATCGCCAATCAAGAGAGTACTCCCCCTACCGTCACGCCACAACCTTCCGTCACTCCATCTCCGATCCCCATTCTTCCATCCTACGCATTTTTACAGTTTGGCAACTCCACTCCAGCTCAAGCGCATCCACTACCACAACTGGAGACAGACAAAGCATTTGAGTCGCCTCATGTAACGCAAAAAGATAAATCTCCACTCAGCTACCGACTGCCCCCAGTGACTAGGTTTATGTCGCTGTTTGTGGACCAGCCAAACTATCTTATACAATTTCTAGAACAAGTATCGGCGAAACGATGGAAAGGGTTCGGACCATCAAAGAAAGGTATAACACCCGCCAAAGCGATTGCTTTAGGTGCAACACATCCGTCTGATAATTCATCCGAAGAAGTAAAAGCCGATTCGAAAGGTTTTATTGACGAAATCGACGCTGAAGCTGAAGAGAAAAAAACCGTTTGGAACACACTTTTGGAATTATATCTTAGTGAAGCCTATTTACCACCTGTGGTGAGCAGTAAAGATAGAAAAGGAAGAAAGAACGCGGCACCCGGAAGCTTTGTGGTTACTAGCGAAAAAGAGAGATTCAAGGAACGTTTGGCGAGGAGAGACAATGCAATGAAGTTGCTGAAGGATGAAGAGGTTGGATTTTGATAGGGTGGTGAGCTTGGAGATCTTCGTGCGAAACTACGAATCGAGAATAGCTATATCTAAACGTATTATTGACTTCCGGCATTTGTAGGTCGAATACGATTGTAATGCAGCTTTGGTGCTCTGCCATCTTGCTCAATTCGACGATGGCATTGTATATTTGTATGAAAAAATGCGCATGTACGAAGAAATTCTCCGCTTCCATATGACAAGGGACAATATCGATAAGGTTATGCAAGGGTTGCGGAAATACGGGTATGTTATTCTTTCGTTTGATTATTCTATTGCATCCGTTAACATGGTATCGTTGTCATTCTTACTATTTGTATCCCCACCTCCACTAACACATTCACGAAACAGGCCACACGATCAATCATTATACCCACTGGTCCTCACCTATTTCTCTTCCTCTCCCACAATTCTTGCTTCTTCAACCGGCGAACTTCTACAAATTCTCGATTACATCGACACTCACAATCTCTTACCACCTCTTCAAATCATCCAAGCATTGAGTAGAAACTCAGTCGCGACGCTAGGAATGGTGAGGGGATACATGGGCCGAAGAATTGATTCAGAGAAAAAGGAAAGAGAAGCAGATAAGAAGTTAATTAGGAGTTATCGAGAGGAGACGGAGAAAAAGAGAAAGGAAATTGAAGATTTGAAGACTACGTGAGTGACAAGTGAAGACGGGATGGTTTTATTGCAAGAGATCGTGTGAAAATGATTGTTATCGTTTTTTAAAGAAAGACGACATAATTGTGGGGAATCTTTGCACTATACATTGATTTAACTTTTTTGAAATTTGTTTAATAGACCGAGAATATTTCAGGTTACCAAATGTACTGCTTGCGGAGGCACATTGGATTTGCCGGCCATACATTTCCTATGTAGACATTCATATCATCAAAGGTGCGGCTCAACTTAATTCGGGTTCAGAATCACTTCCAAAGAATCAGTCGATTAACTTATTCTTCATTGATAAAGATGCCTACCTGATACGGACCGAGAATGCCCCAAATGTGCCGTGGAACACAGATTCCTCGCCGAAGTTCGCCGTAAGCAAGAGATGAATGCGGAAAAGCACGATCTATTTGTACAGCAGGTGTGTTATAGTTGATTGAAAAAGTGTGCGAAGCACTAAACTTCTCCGCGAGAACGCCTCATCTGACTTTTACGTAATTTAGCTTGAAGACGCGGACGACGGATTCTCTGTTATTGCAGATTATTTCTCCAAGAATACGATGGCATTTACTAAGTTGATTGATTGATTAATGTTAAAAGTGCATGAATTGAATTCAATACTATTTATATGTTTGACAAATATATTTGTTTCTGTATTTGATGTATTAGTAAAATGGGGGTATATTGCAAACACGAATTGAAAGAACAAATTTATGGTCAGCCAGTAATTTGTTACTCTTAGTATTGATTGATGATGGACCTGGGAAAAAACCCGACCATTACCGTCTTAAATTTCTGTCACTTTAAACAGATTAAGTATAATCACTTTGATCGTTTATTTTATTTTTCAACAATAGCGCATTCGTAATGTTTTTGGCGTCTTCTTCGAGGCTTTTTGTTAGGCTCATCATCTAATTCCTTTCTAAAGGCTCGGACTCTGAAGGTGGGAGCCTCTAGTCGGATAAGTGACACACGCGATTAGCGGCCTAGGAAAAAACTTGTGGGTTCTAGTCAAACTCGCGGTGCGCTGCTTGATGATGTCCGATTGCTCGTTATTTTCTGTAAGGTGAACGCGTCAGAGTACGGACACAGCGAGGGGAGCGTGCACCGTCAAGTCGGTCGTATTTAAGCGCGGTCACTGTATTTAAAAATGCGTTTGTTGCATCCAAACCTTATTAATATTAAACAAAACCTTGTAAAGACATAATCAATAGAAACTTATAATTATCGAAAGACATTATATGTTCGTCTCATAATCGCTCCATAATCAGCTATAATCGCCTCACATTTGTCTTGAAGGGGATACCTTTTCGGCTGATTGCGGTATTATATTTCATGGACGTCTAGTGTCATTTAATATTGTCTGCATAGATGATCGTGATTTAGTTTCATTGATAGTGTCTGCTTTGCATGCAGGATATGTTTATCCGTAATCGTGTTACCTTTTTCTAATAAAGTTTTCCAGATGAAACTTTGTAACAGATTCTTCTCAAACAAACGTCTATTTGCAAACGCAAATTGTTCGAAAAAAAAGTATGTCGTGGTTGTATTACTTAAACTATAAATTATCAAAGAAAAGTTAAAACCAATTTTGCCGATTTTTGGCTCTAAGCATTTTAGTACCGAGTTGGCCATCCATTATTCGAAATACATGCCTCACGCCGTCTTGGCATGCTCTTAATCAAAGTAGAATATGTTTAATGAGTAATTATTGACTACTTCTTCGAGCACTTTTTAAATTATCGGAGTTTATGTAGAACGAACAATGGTATCCAGTACAGTGAATTGCGGAATTTTAAATCTTAGATATTTTGAAATGCTACTTCCACCTGTTCTAAAACCTAAGATTTCTCCTCGATCAGCTTCCGTCAATTCAGAACCTTTTGGTATTGTAAAAGTGCTCCAAAATAAATTTGGAAACAATGCGATAAAAACAAAACAAAGCAACATTTTTTTAATTATTTACATAAACATGTTTGTATTTGGTTTATAATAATAAAAAATTTTATTTATTTAGGTATGTTTACAATATACGTTTTAATATTTCATAAAATTTTTGTATAGCAGTTGTACCGGATTTGCATAAAACTTCCCTCGGATACTTTAGTCCAGGGAGTGTATCAACAGTTTTTGATATACTATAAAGCTTAAACTTTTCATACAATATTGTAAAAAATTGACTGGAAAACCGGTCAACATGTTCGGGCCCGCAGCCTACTATCACTGTTTCGATCCGATTTGGGAAAGTGATCAGCACATACTCTTCCACGTGATACATATCAGGTTAAAATTTGACTAACAGTTCTTACTATTACGCGTTTACAAAATCATGAATCTCTACGATGTATCGCGTACTTCGAACAACACATTATCGAGTCTCCCAATACTCGACCAAACAGAATATATAGACATTGTTAAAAATGTGCAAGTAAGACACAAAACAGAAAGGAATTTACTGGCTCAGCTCCACCAACGCCAGTTTCCCCAATGGTATTTCGAATTGATGAATGGATTCAACCTAATTTTTTACGGATATGGTTCGAAGCGACAACTACTCACGCTATTTGCAAAAACGGTACTTAAAGACAAACCACTACTCGTCGTCAATGGCTGCCTTCCATCAGTATCAGTAAAGAATATTCTTGCAAACATTTTGGACAGTATCATAAAAGAGTCGCGTGGGATGTCTGGATCGGTCGAAGATCATACCAGTTTTATATTTGACTATTTTTGTCGAGCGGATAGAGCAATAGATCGATTATACATCCTAATTTTTAACATTGACGGTGTTAATCTACGTTCAGAACGTACGCAGACCAGTTTGAGTATACTTGCGTCGAATCCCAATATCTACATTGTAGCTTCGGTTGACCATATTAACGCTGGACTTTTGTATGATAATGTTCGTGCCTCTAGATTTAATTGGGTATGGCATGATATTACGACATACGAGCCATATATTGCAGAAACTAGTTTTGAAAATTCGATTATGATTAGAAGAGAGAAAGCCTTAGGGATAAGAGGAATAGAGCATGTATTGGGTAGTCTGACCGAGAATGCGCGTGGGATATTTAAGATATTATGTGAACATCAGATTGCTATTATAAGCACTTCTACTATTGCTGGTGACGGCCATGGCATAAGTGGGAAAAATCACGGCGTTAAACCAGAGGATGTGGGTGTGGCATATGGTGTGCTGTATAAGAAATGTCGTGAGGCATGGCTTGTTAGCAATGATTTGACGTTTAAGACTCAGTTAACAGAGTTTCGTGATCATGAGATTATCCGATCTAGGAGGATGGCCGATGGGACAGAAATACTTTATATTCCCCTTAGCAAAGATCAGTTAATAAATATTCTTGACAACTTAGAGTTCTAAAACACGCGATAAAATGGGACATTTGGAATAATTATTAAACGTGATTGCGTTCACTTTAGCGTCAATTTGTGGAGCCTTATCTCAAGTAACATGTGAGAAATTACAATCATTTTAGATGCGACCAGCTTCTGTCACAATTATTACGATTAATTTAATATTTATTATAACCTTTCCCCCCAAAAAATTACAGAATAACTGCTCTCTTCAGTAGCATGTCCAAATTCAATGTTACAACTCGTCGTCTTTGATGGTGTTTTTGTTGTGCCGAGCAAGGGAGGGGGAGTAAATAAGGTGAAGAAATTATTGTGGATGTTATATAATTGTCAAGCCTCCAACTTTTAAATTTGCTCCCGTCATTTTAAAAATCTTCACCTTCGTTAGAAAAATGATGTATATACGTGACAACTAATCAAGAATAATGCGAATTACGAATAAATGCATGGACAAGGAACGAATGCTATTGAGACGAGTAACGTTACTTACTTGTTCCGTATACGAGAAGTCCCCCGGCAGTACTCATTACCATAGCAGAATACGTTATCTTTGAGAATTAATAAACACTTATTAGGTAACCTTGTTTATTATACATTAAATACATTAGCAAATATGGGCTATTACGTACCACAGACGCATGAGCAAGAACGATTGGCAAACCTGAAGAATGCATCGCAGGCGAGTGAATTAACGAGTTATTAAACGCAACATGGTTCAATGAATTCGAGATTTGCTTACCAAAACCCGTAACAAGAAAAACAGATGTCAAGAACTGGCCAAAATCTTTGAACCCACTACAAAATGCATAGAAATCGCTTTACAAATCGCCCACATCGTAGCAAGCATTGAAAAGGAAGGCGGTTTTCAAAGAATACGATCAATAAAGGCGTTTGCTCAGACCTTGTCCTGTCAGTCGAATAATCGTCATTACTCGCACATCTTGAAAAGATCCAATTAGGTATTAGAGCCAGCAAGTAAATAGCCACTGCAAAATGGTTTAAAAATAGTATCAGCTTCGTTTCTTTTCGGTAAACAAAATAGGCTCAATACGAACCAACAAACATAGGCCACCAATTCCTATAAAGTTAAAACAATAGAAGCGGTTCAGATTTAATAAGACAAAAGCCTTCGGCGCATACATCACAGAGAACAAATGTGAATTTACATACTCAAATAGTGCACCAGACAAGATTTCCAATAAAAAGCCACCAGCAAGCACAAAAGCTAATATGATGATACTATACAGAGAAAATTGTACATTGAAGTATGAGAAATTAATGTTTTGAGCAAATAGCCTGTGATCACACTTTATCCTAGTCTCGCGTAGTCTTCTTGTAACGCTGATCTACTTTACGACAATGACTCGGCATACTTACGCTAATGCACACAGAAAAGAAACGAGAAAACACAATAGTTAATAGTTATAGACGTCATAAACAAAACAAAGTCAGATGCAATACTGTTTACTTTTTAAGCCTGACATGCTTGCTAGGTTGTGATCGTCGGATAAAGTATTGAAGTTAAGCGAAGCACTACCAAAGACAACAGCAGAGATTCACACATTCTTTTACAAGTTACACTAGTCGCACAGAGTGCTAATAACAGTGTCACAAATCTAAAATCTGCTGATCGTTACTAGGCCGTCTCAAAGCTTATCGTTATTATGATAGACATTAACATGTTATTTTTGGAAATATAAACCTTGGGGTTAGGGCAACGCCGATCAAAGGCAGCTGAAAAATTGACAAAGCTATTATGATAGACATTAACATGTTATTTTTGGAAATATAAACCTCGATCAAAGGCTGAATTTATGTTGTGACAATCATGCCCAACAAACGATATTACTTAAAGAATCGCCCCTTCCCTTCTTTGCTTTTCGGCCGGCCGTAACGGAGGCGAGCAGGGATGTTATCAAAACTTTTAAACTGTATCTTGATGTTTATGTCCTTGTTTCAGCTGCTTTTCCATACAAGTCAGTTGGTTTCGGTCATCTTGAGATGATGAATGGAACGTATTATTTATTTCAGAAAAATACTTGATGCCAGCAGCATCATAATATGACGGACTGCCATTATGTTGACCATCATAGGCTGCGATCGTGGAGCCGTATCTCCGTAAAATTATTAAGAGCATCAACAATTACTTGTAAGTTTGTTTTCGATCAAACGCATTTCTTTGTGTTTCTGATACACCCAGACAAAACAAGCAAGCACACTTCTGAGAATGGCAACCCGTTCAAGTTGTCACATATACTTCTAATGTGATTTTTCACATACCTGTGTCAAAACTTTTGACCCCTCACGTAGAACGATTGTTTCGTTAAATAGTATGTCAATGCATATATTTCGAATCATTGTATAACGGTTAGCTCAATACGATGAAGCAATCAAGCAATTAATCGAACAAAGCACTTTTCGCTGTATTTTTCTTCCGGTTTAATTTAATCGACTCGGCCATTCGTCAATATGGCAATAACTGAGTTCTGCGTCGTTGTTATTCAAGAATTGCTAACGATGAGAATGAATTCAAATTATTCTTGTGTCGTGTAATTGTTATATTGCCGAAAGCCAGAAGGCACATTAAGATATGTACACGCTTTCGAAAACTAGCATTTGTAATAAAGTAATAATGTGCCTCGGAGAAAGTAATGCGTTCGTAGATGAGTGCGTTCGCCAAGAATAAGAGTTGAGGATTATTATTTGTATCAAAACAGGGTGAGTCTTTCCGTTGGCTGGTTTTCATTATATATTACTCGGCAGCGTACATTTAATAACATTTTTAATCAACAGAAAGATTTAGTGTCAATGTGCCAAGATATTATTATCTCCAGTGTGTTTGAAATATATGTGTCGTTTTCGAAAGCGTAAATATAATAGTTGAATAAATACATCAAACCATATATAATTCGATTGATTATCTTACTTAGCGCATAGAAGGGTAACTCAACCGCCTAGGTAATAACATGTTTAGTAATTTCTCTTATGAGATATTCTCCCTCAATTAATACATGTAAATAAAAATTTGATACGTCTTGTGTCAAAACTTTTTGAACCGCCCACGTAATTAAGTGTGTTCATACTTAGTTTTGCTGACTGATCAAAATAACTTTGGTATTAATTAATGTCGTTAGCCTATGACAATATAATGACTCTATGAGTTACCTGTATTCCGTACCAAGAGTAGACAGAACGTAAAGCTTAGCTACTCTACATTCGTGGGTTATGCTTCCCTGGATTTTACAGTGACTTTCGCTTATCTTTCAGTGTCGGGAAAATTCGTCTAGACATGTTAATGTGGTGAGTCATTGCGTAATGGCTAACACAATTATAATTTGTATAAATCACGCAGATCATGAAGCGATGATGAGATTAATTAGCTTATCGCTCAAGATATACTCAATTAAAAGCTATTTAAAAGGATCGCCCCTTCGCTTCTTTGCTTTGGGCCGATTGTAACGGAGGCGACGATGGTGACAGGGACTGCCTTGATGCTTATGTCCTTGTTCGCTGCTTTTCCATACAAGTCAATTGTTTTTCGGTCATCTTGAGACGATGAGTAGAATCACTTGGCAGTATTACTTATTTCAGAAAAACACTTGACGCCAGCAGCATCATGATACGATGAACTGCTATTTTGACCATCATAAGCTGCTACCGAATGTATTCGGCTGGTTTAGCGTATTTACAGTATCGGGTAGATCTTGGGGCCGTATCTCCGTAAAATTATTAAGAATGTCAACAATTATAGATACGAACTGTAAGTTCAAACACATTTCTTTATGTTTCATTCTTTCAAAAGAGTAAAGTGATAATAATGACAGTCGTCTAAATCTTTGGTATCATCGATATTCTATTCACTTATTGTATTGGTAAAACTCCCAGGAAAAAACAAGGATACTTCTTCAAATGGTTTCCGAGTTGTCACCCTATTTTCGATGTATCACGCAGACATGTATTTTATTGGGTCAGAGATTATATTCTATGGCGTCGTCATTAAACAACAAACGCCATGATTTCCGAAAATGATGAGCAATTGTCATTAATGGTTAGACATTTGGAAGATAAGAAGATTGCAGCAGAAGAAGATTATCTCGTGCGACTATTGTTTAACTTTAATGGACGAAATGAGACTCATTTTCCCACAGGCAGCTATTTAGAGCAGCTTTGAAGAACGGCAGGAATAGTTGTTACTTCTTTTTCAACCATCTTGGCTAGTTATTGTTGATAAAGAAAGAAATTTTCCTTGTTTAAACCTCAAAAGTTCTATATAATAAACTCTCCTAAAATACCGTTTTGTTTCGTGCATTAGTTGAAAGACGCGAATTCAAAATCAATATTCAACAAACAAAAATGGCAGACGCATTGCATCTCCCATTTGAATTCGACGATAATGATGGATTGGGTCCCTGGGATGTTATGTTAAGTGAAGGTGCAATTAGGGACATACGAAAATTGAAATCATCAACTGTCATAAACGCAGTTGTAAAAAAATTGGGCCAAATATCATCAGGTGCTTGGGATAAGCGCGGACTTAGACGTATTTCCTCATTGCACACCACCAATCCTGTCTATGAAATAGTCATTAATAATGACGGTCTTAAAATTCTTTGGCAAGTTGACTGCGACTTTTCCACGCGTAGCCATACGATTACACAACTTGTAAAAATATGGGCGATTAGCGCAGACGATGAGATAATTAAGAAGACATTGGATAGTCTCGCGATACTTCACTTAGTTTATACTGCCGAGCATAATCGTCTTTGTGTAGTTCGCCAGGCAATAAATGGTATTATTTCACCATGTATCATTGAAGGTAATGACAGAACAAAATCTGTAACCGACATACCATACGGGTCCCCGATAAGCGGGGAGAACCTTCTAGAGGTTCACAAAATGCTTGTAACGAATAAGTTTGTTCCATTATCGAAGGTAATTGTCCATGAAATTAGACCTTGATCATGTTATATATTAATAATACGTAACTTAACAGACGTCTAATCATTTGTATCGTAGAGCTTGTTTAAATCTCTTATTACGGGCGGAGCAGAGTTCACTTTTCAGGTATCGAAAACGGAATATGAAATTATCCAAAATCGTACATCAACTATCATTATCGGTCGATCTGGTTAGTCTTCCTGCTGCAACATTTTATTATGGGAAAAAGTCTCTAAATTACATATTTGGTATTTAGGGACCGGGAAAACCACTTGCATAGTGTTTCGCTTAGTCTCATCATGTTTACCAGATTATCCCAGTAACTTGGACAATGAAAAAAGTCCTCGTAAGAATCAAATATTCATCACATTAAGTTCCAATCTGTGTCTTCGGGTTAAGAATTATTTCAAACGGCTGAAAGATTCCGTGGAATTAGCCGGGAGAGAACTTTCTGAATCACAATTTGCTGAATTTATAAAAAAGAAAGAGGATGGTATCGATGTCATTACTAATGACACAAAGCACAAAGATGAAGACATTCCAAAATCATTCCGTCAATTGACGGGTGACCATTTTCCATTGTTTATGACCTACGACACTTTCGCTCAAATGTTACAAGCGACGTATGGGATTGATTTTCAAGAATCGATCACAGGATTAGAACTTGAAGAAGATGATGACGAGTTCTGCAGAGGGTCTTCCTTTACTAGGAAATCTAAAGCAGCGTGGGTGCACCACGTTGACTTTAAGCTCTTTCAGAAAAAGTATTGGCCTCATTTCAGCACACACGAACTAGATTGTTGGATGGTATTTTCCGAGATCTCTGTCATAAAGGTATATATCACCATGTATAAATCTCCATAGCTACCGAACATTTGGTTAATTTTTTTTTGTTTTTGTTAAGGGTACCAACCCTGAAGGGGTCTTTTTGTCGAGGGAAGATTACCGAAACATTAGCACAAAAAAATACCCAGCTTTTCGCTATAACCGCGATTCCGTTTACGATTTATTTGAACAGTACGAAAAGATAAAAACACGGTTTCATGATTACGACTCCATCGATCGGTAAGAGCGATGGGGTGCATTGATTGTGTTTTAAAACTTTAAATTAAATTCTCAAAATTAATTTGCAGAACAATAGCTGTTTTGCGTCGTGCCAAAATGGAACAACTTGGTTGTTTCCCCGTCCACGAACTGTACATCGATGAATGCCAGGATAATAGCATAGTCGATTTTGCACTCATCCTAAAACTTTTCCATCGTGCCGAAAGCGTTTTCGTGGCGGGAGATATAGCACAATGTATCGCACAAGGATCTTCTTTTCGGTTCCAGGGTAAATACGGTTTGGTTTATATTTGTTTTTGTTTATAGATGATCGGTTGTATTAATAAGGATTTTTATGTGTCATAGACATAAGCGCGTTGCTTTATCAATGGGAAATTGACCGAAGAGAAGAACATCGTGAACCGTATAATGTAGCAAAACCAAAACAATTTGAATTAAATATTAACTATCGTTCACATGATGGAATATTACAACTTGCATCATCAATAATTGACCTAATTTGGCATTTTTTCCCGGATTCTATCGACCGGTTACCGCGTGAACGCGGTGAAGTGGGCGGTCCACTGCCTCATTTTTTTAGTGGGTTCCAGGAGACCCCTTTCATTTTAAGTATTTTCTCAAATAAGGAAGGGGAAGAGAACAAAATTGAATTTGGAGCCGAACAAGTTATTCTAGTCCGTAATGAAATAGTTAAACGCAAATTAGAGAAGCTAGTCGGCGACAGAGGCATAATAATGACAATATTCGAATCAAAGGGGATGGAATTTAATGATGTGTTATTGTATAATTTCTTCACAGACTCACCTGCGGGTTTGAAGGTAAGACTTAACACTCCGCTTCTAATACAATTTATACGCCTATTCATCGAGGTTATCGTTTTGTAGTGGCGGCTAATTCTTGCCGCATTCGATAATTCTGCTAAGGGAATTCCCGCATATGTCCACGAAAAACATTATATTCTTTCTTCGGAGCTAAAACATCTTTATGTCGCGATAACCAGAGCGCGGCAACGCATTTGGATATGTGATGCAAACGCCGACAAGAGCAAGCCAATGCAAGAATATTGGGAACGTCTTGGCTTAATAAATAGAGTTCAACAAATGGACAAAATCGACTTGCAGGTACTTGCAAGGCAAAGTGATGACATCGAGTGGAATAGGAAAGGAGACGAGTTTTTTGAACAAAAAAAATTTGTCCAGGTAAATAAGATAAGTTCTTAGTTTAATTGCATAAACGTATGGGAGCTAACTGGATTATTTCAGGCTGCGTTCTGCTATGAAAAGGGCAAAAATAAAAAAGGTCAGAAGTTGGCCAATGCACATAATCTTTGGCAGGAGGCCAGGGAACTCGCCAGAACGTCCATAAATGATTCTAACGAGGACACTGTGAGGGAACGGTTTAAAAGTGCTGCCGATGCTTTTAATAAATGTGACAAACCAACCGAGGAAGCTTCATGTTATGAGGTATAGACTTTAAATTTGGATAGCATTCTTGATATCATACTAAGATTTTGTAATTTCATAATACGCGAAAACTAGGATTTTGAAATGTTTAAAGAAGCTGGCGATGTTTATGCCAGAAATAATATGAACTGCCTCGCTGCGAACCGTTATTATCAGGCGAATATGTGGGACGAGGCAGGAAACCACTTTGAAAAAGCGAATAAATACATCAGAGCTGCTGATGCGTACGAAAACAGTCGAAATTATTATGCCATATTCGAAATGACACGAAAGTAAGTGATGACATTTATTAATTCTTTGGGAAAGGAACTGTTTAAACTTAAATGCTTTTTTACGATGTCAAGGCATAAAGCAGATCTGGACAAGAAGACACTTAACGGCTTCATAGCACGTGTCTATAAACATTATCGTCACAAGGAAACGGACACGGCTGAAAAGGCGCTCGCTATTATTACTACAGTTGATGAGCGAATCAATTTTCTAAAAGAGTATATACCTGAAGATCTTCTCGACTTCTATATACGAGAGAAACTCTTCCACCGTGCAGCCGAACACCAATACGCATCTGGTAAATTGAAAGAGGCCTCGGATTATTTTATCAAAGCGGAAAATGATAATGACAATATCGAAGCGCTGCATTGTATCTTGCATTTGTGCAGTATCAATGTACTGAGGGAGACGATGACGGATAATGCAAGTTCAAATACTCGACAAGAGCTATCGAATTTGCTTGGCAAGACTAAGTTCATTATAGCACTTGAATCACCATCTTCAAAGACATCCCCACATTGGGCAAATCTTCTGGAACAAGTTCGATTATATTCAGCGTACTTGGATCAAGACCTCAGCAAAATTTATGACTGCATACAATTCTTCAAAGCTCGCGAAAATTGTGCAACAGAATTTTGCGCAATAAGTATGTGGCTGATTATTCCACATGATAATATCCAAGCTGAATACTGGCGTACGCGTTTACAGTTTTTATTGAGGCTTTATAGTTTGGCAATCGATTTTACTAATTCTGTTACGCAAAGAAAAGATTGTACGATTTTCGAAGATGTTTTTGCTGTAAGCAAACCAAAAGATCGCCCGCTCAAACGTCAAATCCTTTGTCAAAATCTGCTTGTAGACAGATTGCACGCCAAACAGAATGAAACTCTTGGTGATTGGCGCATTTATCGCAAAAATGATATAGATCGAGCAATAGCACAGTCTCTTGTTAATTATGTCTATGAGCTTATCGGGCGCGCTGGCGATAAAGGTAGCGAAATTTCGATCACAGGTCCTTATATCTGCTACAAGTCCTATCTAAATCCAGATCGCGAAACGCATCGTGTGAAACCAGGGCAATCAGTCTTAGAAGAGCGTCTGAAGTTATCATATTCTCAGTACACAGTGACCAGACGATTACGAGATTTGCGAAAATTAGACAGAGTGACGTATAACTATGAACTTTTGGATGAGCAACAAACTCGATGGCCGTATTACCCAAAATGGTGGGCTGAACGCCTAGCTAAACTTCATGTTCGTCTTCAATCGCCGCAGACGGGTTATCCAATGGTTATTCAGAAGATTGTCGACGGGCAACCTGATTATATACGCAAAGATATTATTGATTTGGTCTATGATAAGTGGCTATGGCGAAAACATGAGTTCAAGATAAATGACTTTGCTAGCATGTTAAAATACGTGTTTCTTTACCAGCAATTGCGGAAAAAAGGAGATTTTGACAAGTTCCATCTCGAGATGTCAAAAAGAAAGCCTCCAGTCAGTGGAAATCCTCCAATTGGTTTTGTCCGCTACGAAGACGAACTTATCACCGTTGGAAAGCTGCTTTCCCTAGTTTTCTTGGATCTAGAACATGACGAAGGAATCCTTGCAATTAGACATGCGAAGACGTTTACACGTTATGCCATAGACAACGCCGACAAAGTAAACCTTATTATGCCTGATTCACTTGAAGACCTCGTATCTCTTGATCATCTTATGTCTCTTGTAGAGTTGACAGCAGCTCTACTATTCGCGTCTAAGCCTGAATATTGCGATTTTTACACTACTCTTGGATATCTGGTTAATTGTTACAAGAAGTTCAACGTCAATGTACTCTTTCCGTTCCAGTATACCGAACAGGAAAGCGTTGACGAATACTACAAGGAGTTCGAAGATTTAATTGATCAAGCTCAACGTCTTCTCCACAGATTATTTGATATGGTTCAGAGGTATTGGCCTCTGATCTCCTTACCGAAAATTACACAGGTCATTCTTCGATCGATACGACTCCTGGCATTAATCGCGATTAACGAGTCAAATTTGAGGGGAAAAGTTTTTGATTGTTTTAAGCATCTGAGCGAACACCCTCACTCCGTGAGGTATAAGGACTACCTGAATGAACGAAATGTAGAACGTCTTGCGCACATTCTGTGCGACGACCTCAATAAGACAAGCAGTGATTCTTTAGTTATTGTACATTACGGTACTGGATACCCCTCGAGGCATAATAACAGGGGTTTAAATGTCATAATGCTTACATACAAAACACCTGAGCAATTTCATTCCTCCCTCGAACGGATCGCTAATGGGAAACAGCCAGTTGCAACATGTGATCAATGTCTATCCCACAGACGCGAATGTACTGCACTAGCAAACCCGTAAATTATCCCTAACGTTGAGAGGTATTACTGACCATTTCATTCTAAGACGCTTTTGGCATGGAACATTACTAACTATTAAGGAAGAACTGATAGCCAGCATTTGAGAATCCCGTGATGCATACAAGACTTAGCATTATTCTGTCTTCGGTGCTTTCGGTTCGTTTTCCGCCTCTGGAAGGAGCATAGATAATTCATGTCATTTCTTGGAAGAGTTGTATAGAGCTTGAAACGCTTTTAACTATGGGAAATCGGAATATTAATTTTCTGAATCCTACGTTTCATCGTATTTATATGAAAGGTCAATTTTAATATACACACTTTACAAATTTTCCTTTGTCTTTGTGATATCACGATAAATGATACTATTCAAAAATAGCTTAAGATTGTGTATTTTCTGTTGTTTTTCATCCCTTTAAGCACATGTTTTACAATATTTTCATTTAAAGTTGCTAAAAAACGGTCTTTATCATTAAAAATATAACGTCGTAACATTCTACTCAGTGGATATAATAAATACAAAATTGGCACTCTATTAATTCGCATTTCGCTTACCCGTATCTGGTTCGTGATTTAACCAGCAGACCTCGAATAAATAGAAGTAGTTTTGTGGTCCTAATATACAGGAAGGAAGACAAAAATCTTGCACATTTTTATTTTCTTCAAACCCTAAAAAAGATTTTATTTGTTTAAAGTAAATGTCAACATCGTTTCTTCCATTTGCAGCTTTCTGTTGGGCATAGATAATATCAAATTTCGGTATATTTTTTGCGGAATCGCGTTCCACTCTTCTCAAAGTCTGTGACTGAGAGAAAGTAAATTTACCTAACCATATCGGTAACCTTTTCCAGTTTGCAACAGTCCGATTCCTTCTTTCTATTACCTACTTTTCAATGTTTTCTGAAAATTAGTAATCTTTTTAACAAAAGGCAAGAACGTTTATTTACTCATGAAGCTCAGTGATGAACTGTTCTTGTCGAAATTTGGCAGATTCCAACTTTAAGAGTAGTTTAGTAATTTCTTCAGATTTTGTCGCGTGTTTTTTTTTGTTCGCGTTCAATTTCTGCCGATCTGCTAACTGAGAGTGCGTGACGTATCATTTTTGCGGATTCGTAGGCTGAAAAAAAAAACATCCATTAAACGGTTGCGCGATGCGATGGCATCCTGTCATTTTGTGATGGTTACAACATTATCATCTGGTTTTTGTTACGATTTATAACACCTTTTGAGAATTAGTGAGTTTGTCAATACATGGTACAAAAGTTAGTTTTTTTGTCCCCCCCGTAGTTTGCAGAAATTTTTGACGTTTGTTATGGAAGTAGAAATTTTATAATTTTAAATTCAACGCATACTTATTCTCTTCGCTCAGTCCCTCCAAATGAGATATTATAGATATGTATAGAATGAGGTTTGTTAAATCGTATGTCAATGCATAAATTTCGAGCTATCGTATAGTAGTTTAGCTCACAATTCAAGACAATACGGGAAGCAATCGAGCAACCAATCGAACAAACCACTACCGCTAGATTTTTATTTTGATTGAATTCAATTATTCGTCAATAACTGGGTCCTGCGTCGTTAATCAAAAATCGCTAACGATAAGAATTAATTCAAATCATGGAGGAATACTTTCGTGTCGAGTGTGGATACGACTTGTTATATTCCTGAAAAGAGCACATTAAGATACGTACGCGCTTTTGGAAAAGGCGCGTTTGCAGTAAAGTAATAATGCGCTTCGGAGAAAATAATTAAGTTGCGTAATTAAATATTTATACGGATACGGGTAGCCGTGCCATCGCTGACTTCCTCGCGTAGATTCACTATAAACACACGATCTACCACAATTACCATGAAGCACAAAAAAAGCTCTCTTGTCCATGTACGCTATGCGAATGCCAATATTCTTTGTAAGAAGCTAATTGATTATACTTTTCGAAAATAATAAAGATAGATTCTAACACATTATTATTAAATGTGTAGCACATATACCGCTACTTCGTCCCATTACTGCTATATAACAATAGCGTGTTAAAGTTATCGTTATTATCCCCCGAAAAGTACAATCAATGAGCTTTAAAACAATACACATATTATTGTCATTCGCATAGCATACATGGACAAGGGAGAGTTTTTGAAAAGAAATTTTCATATTGTGTCAACAATTACTACTGATCATTAACATTTGAGGTTTAACTTTCTTTCAAACAAAGATGTGATTTCTCCTAATTAAGTCAAATATAATAACAATTCGTAGTTTTTAAAACCAGGCATTTACTACTCACGACCGAACGTCATAATTGTACCAATATGTGATTAATTTCGGAGTCTATAGTTTTATAATTAAATCATAGTTTAGAGTAATTGCAGGGCAAGAAACGAATACCGTTAATTCAACGATTTTTTGCCTATATATAAGGACTCGCGTTTATTAGTAGTAGTAAAGCCGATAACGCGCTACAAGACACACCGAATACGTCTACGTGTATAACTGTCAATAATCTATATGCTACTGCTATCGATATGCGTTGGCACTGCCAGGCACTACTAATTTTGTTGTAATGCCTGAATAAAAACTAACTATCGATAAACTGTTCCTTTTGTTAACTAAACTGAGCATACTGTCCCTATGATCAACGTCGTTAGACATTTGTCATAAAACTTTGGTTACCTTATTGCAAGCGATCCATTATTAAAACTGATCTATGAAATGTTGAAGGAGCTTAATGATATGAACGAACGATATGGAAGCGAGTGTTATTGTAAGACTTCAAATGCCCATAATGAAACATGGAATGGATAAAACTTAATGACGAGTCCGCCGAGAAAGATCAAAAGAATAAGGTGAAGGCGTTCGTAGATGAGTGAGTTCGCCAAGAATAAGAGTTGAAGATTATTATTTGTATCAAAACGGGGTGAGCCTCCGTTGGGCTCATAAAAACGTCAAGCTAAAGTTAGAAGAAACTATCCCAAAGACGCGTAACTATGTAAAGGGAAATAAATGAGATAAGGAAAGGTGGTAATGAAGAGTATCTACTGAAATATCGCAGACTCTGCGTTTGAATTCTACGAGTACAGAATTCTAGAGGGGGAGTGGTGCTTTCTAATTTTCCAAAAGCAGCAGCCAATTTTTCTCAACCTGTTTGCGGCTATTGCTATGCTCTGACACATTCTGCTTTGCCTTTCATGCACATCTCTATTTTATTAAATATATTGTATCAGGTGATTAAATAATTGATAAAGAAGATTATGTTAATATTAGAAGGCAATTATAATAACAACCCCGTTTAAATAAGTCACATTTTGCATATATCGTCGATCGAACACGAGACTCGTACGCCCGGATGAAATGGGTTAACCACTATTTTAGCATGTGCTTGTGTGAACATCATCCATACATTCCCAACATTTGCCAACAAATTTGATAATTTACATTATTATGTCGCAGTTCATTTTGTGGAAGTTTGCAAAAAGAGCTTATTTCCTGAATGATATAAAATGTGGTAACACAAAATAATGTTTACGATGTTAAAATATAATATAAATAAGTATAGGGTATATAATTGGTTCTTTTACAGCTTTTATATTATGCATTAAAAATATCTATTATTAACAAACTTGTTATCATTGTTACAGTGTCATTTGGGGAATCGTCATCATTGTTACAGCTGTTGTTGTTGTTGTGTCGTTGTATTGTATTGGTTGATTGTTTCTCCTCATTGACATTTATTAGAGTTGGTCGAACAGGGTAAATTCTGCAGGCATGACACACGAAATTCTTTACGGCGGTTCTTTGGGGCAAAGCCACGTAATTCTATACAACAATGTAACGCTTCCCCCACATATGCTGTTTCGCCGCAGGCACAACAACCAAACAATCTGTACCGAATTTTCTTGGTATCTGTGTCTTTGTATACAGTGGTAAATAGTAATGCCTTTTTTAAAACGTCCCCAAGGATCTTTGATTGTTAGTAAATAAAGTGTGTTACCTAGAAAAGAGGGATTGTGGGAAGTGATCCGATGACTGAAATGTGGCCATGACTCATCGAGGATGGCGTGGATTATATGGACCGATAAGGAGTGCCGAATACTGTATGAACTAACAAGTGCATATGGGGATAAGGAGATGAAAATAACGGAAGATGAAGAATCAAGTCACATGTAGTACAAATTATGAAATGTGTATTCTACACAATATGCGGTATGATATAATTAATATGAATATATAATCAGTATAAATTATATTTGTAATTACATTCTTAACAATACAATGTCATTGGTCAACTTCAAACGTTGGGCAATCAAAAACTCGATAAATAACCCTCCACCGACTTTGCACTCAATCAATTTGGGATCTCTCCAATCAGCATTTGCGTCTTTGACTCTTCCGAGGGACCAAACCACAAGCTCACACAGCTACTGTTGCTCTGAGTTGTTGTGTGTCGCTTTACAAACAAGACAAAAAATAAAGCTTAAATAAACAGAACTCCTTTAAAGGAGAATTCTCTCCCTGCAAGGAGTTTTCTTCTCTTTTCTCTCTCTCTCCTCTTCCGCTCTTCCCCTTTATCTCTCGCTTCCTCGCCAAACTCGAGAGTTTTCTTGTGGTGTCGTTGTTTGCATCGGAATAAGCCTCGTCGGTACTTTTTTCCATAGTTTTTGTTTGTTGTTGTAGTAAGGTAATAATATCTAGAGTGTGAACTGAACAGAGAGTCTGAACGAATAGAGAAGGAAATAACATCAAAATAGGTCAAAACGTTCCATACCCGATAGTATAGTATGTATATTTAGTGTTAGTATAAAATTATTTTTGCTATTATTGCCGACTCTTGCTGTCGTCAGCCGTGGGGTTTTACTCTTATCGTATACCACATTGCATTGCATATCCTTATTTTTACTGTTTATTGTAAACACTCTCTATTCAGTATTCACTCTACATGTTATCATATTACTAAATATATAGTCGAGAACAACGTCGGCGGGAGGGTGGGAACCAAAACGCACAAAGTGTCGTTACCCCGACGTTGTGAGTCACCCCTTTCGTATAGATTACTAACCACCATATTCGGTATTCTACTTACTTTATTTGGGTTATCTATTCCAATGTCGATATATACATGTTGGACCATTCCACACTTCACCCTCCCTCTCCTTTCCGCAACACACCTTCCCCTACACCGCGCCACCCAAACTATAACAACACTCTATTTGACAATCTTCAACGCGTGTATGTAATAGTGCCGGACGGATTTCCCGAGTTGACAGCGACTAAGAGAATTTACACTCGTCCAATTAAAGCGTCCCTTCACTCCTTTGGTCGACACTTTCTGGTTGCTTGCTAGTCTATCCACGTCAACCAGTCTTGCCGAAAAACAAGCCAAGAGAAGAAAAGAAAGAGAACCAATCATACGGAACGCGGTCGGTATTCAGCTCTCAATTATCGCCAACACGCATTAATAGTTGCCGGCTCTCAGATTGTCTGTGTCGAGTTCTGTTACTAGTGGCAACGTGAAGAATTTGCTTCCAGGCAAACAAATAATGTTCTAAAGCTCATCACATAATCTAGTATTTTATTATTAGTTGGTCTGTCGTTCACAGTTCAACTACGTTCTTATAGTAATGCGAACATTCTCACTCTTTTAACTCCAGACATTCTTCAATTGGTATCGTGCTTCAAACTAACACTTCTAATAACCACGATTCCTATCCAGTCTTTTCAATATTTTACTTGTTTACAACTATCTTACTTCATACACATATTCGCTCTTAAAAGATATCTCATCTTTTATTCTGTAATATAGCCATTTATAAATATCATTTATACATACCTCCCTTTTCCTTTCCCTTACCTTTTCCCCCTTCGCTTTTATTTTATTTCTTCTATTCTTTTTTATCTATTGCTGGCTTTGGTCAGTATGGCGTTGTAAAAGAGGAACCTTACCGTAAAAGATGCTCAATATTTCATTCAATCAAGCCCACGCTTTCATCGACAGCAAAAACAGTATTCTGTTTCATCAGTGCTATCTCACACCAAACTTTGCAACAACATTCACAACTCAGAACGACAACAATACTAGCGACAACAAATCGACAATAACAAAACTCTCAGCAAGCATTTGATAAAAGTTTCCCCTAACGCTATCAGTGTTCATCGTAGAGTCAAAGAAGTCAGCTCAAACTCTTACAGAATTTCTACTCCAACCGTTGCATTATAACAAGCCTTTCCGGGACTTCGGTCCATTGAAAGCAAACTCAAGCCGGTTCTTGAAGCAAGCAAAACTATAATTAACATCAATATTTTATCTTTGCTCCCGTAAACACGCAAAAAAAATATATTTACAGGAAAAAAAAAAAGCAGAAAAAAAGTATTAACAAAACAGATCGATATCCAAATCTAGCCAGTCTAATCTATAGGAACATTTATATACTAAGAAATGATGTTTAAAAGATCTTCTTCCACTCCGATCAGACCTGTTTCTGTTATAGAACATATTGATTACAATTGGAGACCGTTAGTCTCACCGACAGTAATGCCTTTCGAGCTTGGATCTACTATACATGACCCTACTCATGATGTCACTTACAGATTGATACAGCCCTTGGGTAACGGATCGTACGCTGTTGTATACATGGCTCATAATAACAAGGATAATAGACTATACGCTCTCAAATGTTTATCCAAGGCAAATTTGTCCGAGTACCATTTGTCGGTGCAGAGAAACGAGGTAAGATACTTATCATATTAAGAGAGCTGTTCTGACTGTCGACTGTTGACTGTTGACTGTTGACTGTTGACTAACATTATATATGACTCATCATTCCAGGCGATACTTCATCAACGACTTACTTCTGGCGGAGTCAAGCACGAGAATCTTGTCACACTTAACTATTCGTTCGAAACAAGGGATTGGCTATTTCTCGTTCTTGAATACTGTGAAGGTCAAGACCTATATTATTGGCTTACGCAGGGTAACAGCAACGATGCGATCGCAAAGCTCTACTACTCTTCACGAGCACATCTCGAAGTTGTGAAACAGGTCTTTGAGCAAATCCTTGAGGCAGTCGGTCACTGCCATGACAACTGTATTGCACACCGCGATTTGAAACCAGAGAATTTTATTGTCATGACGAAGAATGGCAAAAATGGTATTCGTGTGAAACTGACGGACTTTGGCTTGGCTACGGACGAGATTGAGTCTGTAGATTTCGAGTGCGGTTCAAAGCCCTACATGAGCTACGGTAAGTACAATTGTGAATTGCGGCAGATTAATAATGTTATCCATTACAAACTTTTCAATACTAATTCTTGTAATTTGTACTCAGAATGTCGTAATCCTGTTCGCAAGACGTACAACCCGCGTCAGGCTGACGTTTGGTCATTGGGCATCATCTTCTTGAATCTCTTGTATCATCGTTCACCGTGGACAGATCCTAATGAGAATGAATGCAATTCTTTCGCAGAATTTCAACATGATAAAATCGCCTTCTTGAGACAACGTTTTCCGACTATGCCCGAAAAAGTTGCCCGATTTTTAGCAGACCGCGTTTTCTGTTCCGAAGAGTCTCGCGTCAGCATTAAGGAATGGAAAGTTTGGTGCAAGTACTTGGTAGAAAGGATGCTCTCGGAAGATGTTGACGAAGAACTTATCGTAACTGTTCGTCACGATGAGATTGTTACTAAGGAATGGGTGACTTCTGGCTTTAATAAGGAACCACTTTCTGATAAGTATGAGAATCACGACCGGAAACAGTCGTGGTCAGATGCCGTTGATGAGGAATTCGAAGAAATGGATTTCTCTGCTCCTGTCATTTTCAATGACGATGAGGATTTGCTTCGACTTGAAAAAGAGAAAGAAAACATTAAGCAGAAAGACTTTAATAACGGCAAAGATTCAAGAAAAGTTTCCTTTGAAGACCTTGAACATCCCAACAAGGACGAAGACAGTATTACGAGCAATAGCGATACAGACTCTGGTTTCGGTTCTGATGACGGTTTTGCCAAACGACAACCTCGTGATTATAGTTCAGCGTCTGTGCGCGTCCGAGATAAGGATGCTAACAAGGAATTCTCGACAGTTTCTCAGGCGAAAGTGATTTACTGCAAACCTCGACCTTGGGGTGAGCAACGGAATCGCGGACATCAACGCGAAGCAGCCAGTGACTACTCTACCAGCCCCAACAGCCATTGGTCATCATACCATCAACGACGAGAACGTCTAGAACAAAGACGCAAAGGAAAGGAGGAACAAGTTCAACACGAGAAACATCAGGAAAAACATCGTGATTGGTGGGGTCAAGAACGTCTACCTGGGTCTGGATTTACTAAGTTTAAGCCATCTGGTCATGTTGATAATCAACCCTCCTGGCCAGTCAATCATTCATTCCCTCGTCGCGCTCGCGCTAAGAGCATTTCACGTTCTCCAAATGAGAAGTCGTTTGTCAACACTGAAGGTTCAACGGATCATGTTCGTCGCAGAGAATTACCTTTGGCCGCTCCGTTAAGGTCCAGGGTATCCCCCCATAGCCAAGAGCCATATACTGAATCTTCTTCACCATCAAGATTTCCTTACAAGAGGATTTCTGATAAGAGTCATTTGAAAGCTCAACCTGTGAATCGCGTAGTCGAGAGCCCAAAGAAGGTTACCAAGACTACAAAACATTCGTTGGGTCGCATGTTAGAGAAGATGGTAATGTTCAATCGAAATGTCAAAGTTGGTGGACAAGCCATTGATGTTCAGTAGATTCCAATTTAGGTATGTGTATGTTTATCTGTTATCGTTAGTTGATCAAAAACTTGAAAGACTCGCATGCTAACTTTATTTTTTTTCAATAAATCGTTTAGTCAATTATCTTCTTGTAATTGGTTTCTTTCTATCATGCGTGTTTATGCAGTTGTTTGTTTCCCTCTCTATTCGTTGGATGGATCATACTTCGACGAAGATAGTTTCATTTATAAATTCACCCTACTTTATACTACTGCTTGAATATCATTGAGTTTTGTGTTGACAACAACTGGAGCGAAAAAAAAAAATTGAGAAATAAAAAAAACAACCAAATAAATCAAAATGTTCAGTGTCAAGTTCTATGCTGTCATTCTATTAACGTAAGATTAAAATATGAATACGCTAGCTATTCAGCGGCAAAGAAGTGTACATGGCAAATCGCATTCGCATTCGTTACTCCCAGATTCACTTGGACTTGGGCTCGACAAGTCACTTAAGAACAATTCTACTCACCCTCCCACTTGAGCAGCTTACTGCGTTGATAAGAAACTCAGGCAAGGCTAACTGGTCAATATTGTTCGAGATACATTTATTTGTTTGTAATTGTACAAAATTTATAAGAAAATGTACATAGGTATTAATAAATCAATCAATCATTATTGGGTCTTTTTTGTAAACCCATCTTCTTTATCACCCTGATACCCGGTATCCTCATCGACGTGATGCACTTCAACACGCGGAATAAGACCCCTTCCATTTACTTCTGAAAATGGTTTATCTCTGGGCAATTGAGTCAACGATTCTACTCTCATTGCTTCAGCACCGAAAGAGTTTGTACGACTACGCGATGCCGAACTGGCTCCGCTGGCGGCCCATGAACTGGTTCTACTGCGTCCGGTAATTCCTCCATTCTGTTTATCCATAAAGAAGAATACGTCGTCGTATTCTGAATCTGCAGCACGTTCCCAGTTGAAAACCTTATCATCAAGCCAGTTTATAGGAGAGCTGAAAAGACTCTGCCTATTCGGTGTCTTTGTTCCTTGTTTGTCTGCTTGTATTATCCGTTCTGCGTCAAAGTCGTCGTATATCTTTGGGCCATATTCGTTTATGAGTGCAGTGAGATCTTGTGACAATTTTTCTCGTTCATGTCGTAGATTTTGGATGGCTGGTCGAGCTCCGGGTAGTAGAGAAAGGAATAACGGCCGTAGTGATCTAATTCAGAATGAGGTTTTTTAATTCAGCAAGCGTTTTATATTAAAGCTTCATCGGATGCCATTATTACCTATAGATATCGAGTCCAGTTTCAAGTAAACGCACTGTTGCATAACTTCCAGCCATCATTAAGAAATATGATAATATAGGACCGTATATCTTCCATGTTGTTGGCCAATCATACTTGAATGATAGAAACAAGACAATAAACGCGTAGAATCCATATAAAATAGGTGTAACCACAAGAGCGACGAGAACCTTCCATGTTGCTACTACGTCACGACCTGCAACTTTGACGGACGATGCAGCAACAGCCTCTACATAAAAGGACGAATGTTAATCATAGAATATACAATGTGTGTGGGCAACCCCTACTAACCTTTGGCCTTGTGACCACTTATCCAACGAGAAATTAGTACAATCGGGAGATTCAAAATGAAGCTAGAATATTCCACGTGTTAATGAAACTTTATCGTAATACAAAGTGCTCATGTTAATATTGTCAGACATGAAGATAGGGATTTACTTACCCAGGCAGGCCCAGGATAGTCCAAACTGATAGAATTAGTATTCTATATATTAAAAGACCGGCGGCTCTACCTCCTCCCAACGCCGTCTTATTAACTTGATGATCTTTGAGACCGTAATCTTTTAATAATCGGTTGTATTTCATGACCTTATTTCGTATCTCTTGTACTCTTGGATCATCTTTGAAATGCAAATATCCTTCGACAAATCGACGATTCAATTCCACAACTTGGGATATCGGCAGCTTACGATGGGCTGGTTTATATAGCCGGCGCCCTGCTTGGATAACCTAAATACAAAGCAGTCAGAATCAATACGTCGGGGTCAATTATTTACAAAAAGCCGTTATATTTACCATAAGAGTTTCGTAATCTGGTGTATTTACGGTGACCGATATCAGGGCGTTATAAATAGTATCCAGCAGTTTGCCGCATGCTTCTCTCTTATAATTACCACCTTTATTATATTTCTGTACAAGTTCTCTGGGTACTGATATTGGTGCACCAAACTCAACAACCGCACGCGATCGGAAATGGTGAGCATGGAAGTAATTGAGACCTTGTGCAAATATTTGATATGTCAGTTATTCTGATTATTGTTTCTCACCGACAGCTCATTATCGAATAAAAGTACAACTCACCACAAGGGACAATCTTTACATCAAGATTAGGGTTAGCAGCCATTGCACCAAGTGCCATTACGGATACACCGGCTAAGCATCATAAGTGTTAGAAAAAAGACAATACAATGAAACAATACGAAACAAAAATCAACAATCCCCTCCTTGACACTTTATACATATACCTTTTAATGGCATTATCTCGGTTCTATCATGACTTCCACCTTCTGGAAATATTCCAATACATCTCCCGGCGTTCAACGTCTCGAATACAGCCTTATACACTTGACTTTGGTCTATATGAGGTATGCAGTAATATTCGGATCCTTCTGGTTTCGTTAACATTTCCAACGCATTCAGATCTTTAAATTCTTTCTTAACAATCAATTCGGTATCTGATATGATCGTCACCACTTCAGAAATGCCCCGATTTTTGGGTAAGCTAATCTGAGCTCTAACGCCCAATTCTTCAGTGAATCGAGTACCGATGCCAATAATGCGAGTCGGATCAGACTTTCTATCGAACAGCTGAATCTTTCCTGTGCCCGGCTTGGCGAGATCCTGAGGCCTGGTTACAGGAACTAAGCAAAGTAATTTCATTTGAATGAATTACGTTTAATCAATTCGATACATTTACAAATAGTTGCATCCTCCTTTAAAAAGAGTACTTACTAGCTTGTAATGCACGTGCCATTGCACCAATATATTTACGTTTCATTGACTTTGCCGCTATAAGGAAAGAGACACGTCGACAACAATGTCTCATAAGAATCAATGGATCTACAAACTGGACAAGGATGAAACAAACGTTATAACTTTTGTTCAAGTTTAATCGACGATCAGTAAAGAAATTCACTAAATCTCTGGGAAAGCTTATTGAATGCCATACACGAGTAAATTAGCTTTTGACAGTATAGAGAATTATAACTAATTTTATACGGTATAATATTGTTAAAGAAGGCAATAGCATGATGTTGTAATGTGCAATACCTGATTAGCATGAGGCGCGGCGACAAAGATTACAGGCCCTTCTACGGGGATTTTATGAGAGCCCCGCGGTCTGATCTCCCGGAAGAAGATATCTAGGACGACGCTGAAGAAGAGCACCACCAGATCGTAAAGTTGAAGACCCATTTTGAAAGAAATTTAAATTAGCCCTGGCGGGCAAGGTTGTGAGACAATTATAGTAGCACTACACAGTCACGAACAAGACGGTTTGAAAAATAATATAAGCAAGGAAGTAGCTAAGTATGATAATGAGGGAGAAGTCTCTGAAAAGCCTTGGTTTATATAGGACGGATGACTTGAAGAGTTTAACCAATCAATGTTCACATCAACCAATGACGATGTTTCGTTCCAAGAAATCGAGTTGCTCTCTTGTGATAAATGTTTATGGAACAAAAAGATCCCGAAGCAAAACTTTTTCGTCATAATCAGCACGCTCCTACCCCCAATATGTTCTCATAGTGGCTTATTGGATTCCTTATTCGCTGCATTTGCTTTGAATGCCAAAGATGCATATTGCATTAGCTGCGCCCAAATGCGGTAACTTCATGACCAAGAAAAGCGCGCGAATGGATGATAAAAAAGTATTACTAGTAAACCGGGTAGAATTACTATTACGTGTAACTGCTTACGCCAAAGACAGGCTTGTGTAAACACGTGATTATAAAATATAATATAATTTCTTGTTCGAAAAGAATGCGCGTTCGGTTCTCTGTTCGCGAAATACAAGACACGGACATACAGGCCCACAATGTCGACAACGATAATGATTTGCGTTTCATTTATTAACTGAGATTATACATACATTTAGAATGACTCTAAGCTAGCTTCCGAATGCAAGACAGCCATCGTAATGCACAATAGATTAACATTTACACTCTCTCACTAAATACACTTTCAGCGAAAGACTAATGCGAAATTGATTGTGTTACGTTGATTGTTCGGCAGACAATCTTACAGAACTGACTTACTAAAAGTGTTACTGCAGCAACGCATAAAAGTAGAACCGTTATTATAGCAATTAATAATAATAATGATTCTTAGTTAAAAGTGTTTAATTTATACTTGGCGCGTATTTTCAAATTTTATATGCGCTCATTCTCAGTCATTCGTAACAAAAAGTTAATGCTAATAATTGTAGACAATAAATTTTACTACGCAATTGTAATGTTTACTTAATTATAATCAAGAAATTTATTTTTTGGTCATTACAACTCGATGCCTTGCTACGTTACAACACTACTATGGTGCACGCAGTCTAAAGCCATCACTTTTTGTTTTGTGGTGATCTTATAATTCAGTCACGTGAAGCAATTAATCGCAAAATTGCATTTTCAGGAATCCTCTATATTGTTTTACTGTATATATAAAGCTGCAATACCCGTTAAGCCTTCTCTGTATGCATCCATAAACCTCCAAGAACACGAGCATATCGTCTAATTATAATTTGTTCCAAAAAAACGCTTCAGGAACAACTTTTTTCTAATGCTTTGAATGAATAATCACAGTTATTCCGTGGTATTTGTTGAGATGGCTGCTGGAGTGTAGAGAAAAATTATCAAGTTTAGAAACACCAGCTGTTACAATTTTTGCAGCAGCAGATTTTTTACGTCTCTGTGTCCTTCTGGGTATCCCACATAAACTAATGGGCGAGAACTTAAACGCCGTTGGTTTTTGTGCATTTTCAATCAAATTATTTTCAAGTTCAACATCATACCAAACATCATCATATTTAACAAAGTTTTATTAATTGTTTCGTGCGGCTGCAAGTTGAACTTTTCGTCTCTTTGGTGACATTTTTATAAGTGAGATTATCTGCAAACGCAAGATAGGCGCAGATTTACACGTTAAGCTAAAAATATGGTTGATCGAATTCTCCAGTTTATAAATTTTGGCTCGCATTATCCAAGTGCCGGACCGGCAAAATTTATTCGAACTTAAGTAAAATAACTGATATAAAAACTTGTTACAGTAATCCAATTTTAAAAAAACTTTCTGTTACATAAAGAGTTCCATATAAACTATTATTTTACGGAAAAATATTTATCTTCATTTGAAGTCCATGATGAATCGTGGTGGCTTTAGATTGCGTGCACAATAAACTCACTTCAATTAGTAAAATACAACTGCGTTTATAGTTTACTATTTATATTATCTATAATCCTACAGGTTACAGTTATATATGATAGTCACTAGCAGTTTGCAGCCAAAACCATGTTAATTGCTGCTCTCTTTAGTCATGTTTATCAATCTACTTATAGCCCGCATCCAAAAACCCTGATAACATATAAGTAATTATCGCTATCTAGAATCACATTTAATTTATGCAAAAAACCAGATAATCGTAAAGCGAGAGGCAGGCTTTATGAAAATGAAAACCAGAAATTACTATATATAAACGTGATATTCTGACTGTTTGTCAAAAAGATTATTATTATAATAACTGGACGCTGAACCATTATTTATTACCACAATCATAACTGAATCGAAGTGACTGGTTAGGTTAAAATAATTACTTTGGTAATGCTGAACAAGGCAATAAAAGAAGTGCTTATGGTACTTCAATTATTAACAAGTACCGTTTTAAGAGTTGAGGCGAGAAACTTTAGGGACTCTGACAAATAATGCATTATATTTCGTAGTGCAAGAAATTAGACAATTTTATAGACAAAACTGAAACTGAATAACATATTTTGATAACATACAGTGTGAAGAAAAAAAATTGGAAAACTTGAAACCCATGTTGCTTTGTCAATATTGCACACATCAGCACATATCATATATCAAATAAAAGTTTGAAATGAGTATATTTTATTGATATAAATTTAATAAGATATTCGTTCCCCATTCTTCTCAATAACCTCTTCACAACGTCGCTTCATGGAATCTACTAAATTAATTAGAATGCTGACTGGGATAGCATTCCATTCTTCCACCATAATCCTCTCCA